TGTGACAGGACATCACACTCAAATGGATATCTTCACCTTCTCTCTGTTATTGCTGTGTTCGCCTTTTAATCCCTTCAGCATCCTGCTGAAATCAAGTTTATAAACAGAAGTTTGGGAATGGATCAACACCAATACTGTCAAATATCTAAGTCAACAGTTTAAATCCTTTAGTCCATTTCCACCTTCTGAATCTGCAAATTCCTCTGTGTCCCTGTGTCTTACAAAAAGAGTTGCACTGTTAGTTTCTAGACTATCTCCAGACTGTGTGTCTTTAAAGAAAGAAAATTTTTTAATATAGTCAGAAATTAGAGGCAATAAGAATGACTTTTCCAGGCAAAGAAGAGATGAAAAACAACTTCCTATTGAGAAATAATAGGTACATGCTCTCTGACTTAACTCTGTGTGCCCAAGTAATTTACAGAATTTACAAACAAATTTACAGATTTACAGAATGTAAATTTCCATCTTTTTTCCTCTCTTGTAAAAATGTGACAAGCCAAAATATTTGACACACATTTTTTACCAATCTCTCTTTTTGCTATTTATATGTTATCATTTTGAAAGGTTTGAGTCATCTGAATTGAATTTGTGTGATCATGTCTTTACACTAACCATTTCATAGAGATTCACTAAAAGAACTCCTTTCTGAAAGATGGATATGGTTTAATTACATTTCTCAATCTTAGAAATGGCATTAATATCAACACGAATTCAAGAGAAAACTAAGCTCAGAAAGTTGTGATTACTTCACCAAAGTTAAAGTTACTTGTACATAACATGAAAATACAGTCTTAAAAATATGAAGGAGGTAAAGTTTAACAATCCTATAATAATCAAATGCATGTCAATAATTATAAAGTAGTCTCATCTGTTCATTTGAGCTTTTATTTGGAAACACCATTAAGAGCTACTCTAAGTTTGTATAAACATAATTAAACCCTTTTTTCTTGTTATTTCACTAAGTCAAACAGAAATTAGTTTTTTAGTGAGGTTTGAGTGCATGGGTTTTTCTTTTTTCCCCTTATTTCTTTAAAATAAAGTCCCCATTCAGACTCTCCACTACTATAGTGTCATTCCTAAGTAACACACCATGCTTGAAAAACCTGGCATTTGAAGAAACGTTTTCAACTAATATTATTAACAGCTTGAATCCACAAAATCTTGTAAGCTACTCTCCTAAATCCAAACACATCTCTCCTTAGTAAAACAGGCAAGTATGGGTTTAGGGAGGGAAATCTATGAGATTACCATTGTGTTCATCCCCTTTGGTTGGCAGAATAAGGCAGAAGAAAATGCCAGCTCTCATGATCCAAATAAACCATGGGCAAAGGAGGGCCTGGGCTGGCTGCAGGTCAGTTCTCCAAATTAGTTCTGTTCATATGTCCTTCCTTTAAAGCTGCATCTTTGCAATTTTCAGGATAAGATGACACAGGTCACAGAAAAATTCAGAGGTAGTGAAGTCACCTAGCTTATAAAAAGGAGAGGCAAATCTTTCTGAAGAGAAGGTAAGGTACTTCATTGTGATGTTATCTTGAAACACATATTCATTCAAAAGTAATTTAATTTTGCTAACAAACTTTGAAAATAAAGGTGTCTTTCATTTTCACAGTTTTAGATATTGTTAGGATTGCAGACTGGAACTAGAGAATTAAAAGGAAATTTTTCCTGGAATTAACTTTATTTTCATATGGCTCCCTTCTAGTAGCTTAATAAATTGCCACGAATCTGTCTTAAAGTGGAATCATTTCTAAAAGAAGTCTTGGTACTCTCTCTGCCCAGTTAGGATGTTAAAAGGTAATTTGATACAACTGGTAATAGTTTCTCTGGGGGTGTTAAACCATCTGTTCATGGGACCCAAATTCCGGGACATTTTAACTGTTTGGTTTGCAGTCCCTTCTGGGGGGAGAGGAAGGGAGAGAGAAAAAAAGTGTGGGGAAGGGAGAGAGAATTTTCTCACCTTTCTCCTTCAGCCCTTAGTCCATTTCGAAGGCTCTGAATCAAAATCTGACTCCTTCGACGTGTTAATGTCATGGTGGCTTTAGTGGCTGGAAGAGTGGAGGGGTCTTAATTTAGCTGAGTTTTACTTTCCCCTACAGCATAGAAAGAAGAGGCGATCGCCTGAGATTGAGAAATACCACCCTCGCGTAAATTAGTTTTTTCAGCTACAGAGAAAATGACTGAACAAGCGTCAAGCATTGGGCCATATTTTAAAACTCAAGGCTGTTTATTTTTCTTTCTTCACTTGTTTTTTGTGGCAACTAGCCAGTAGGGATCCGGGGATCTGAACCCGTGACCCTGGTGTTATCAGCAGCACCTCTCCCAAGTGGGCTAACCCGCCAGCCCCTCCCCCCTCACACTTCACTTTGAATTTGAGGGAAGGGGAATGTTTTCCTACATAAATTCAAGATAGATGTTCATTGACCCAATTCACCGTGTTCTTTTAAACTCCTGTACAGTCAATGCCCTCCCTTAGAATCAGCGAGATTTTTTAAAACTGTTCGAATTTAGAGGAGATTGAGAAACGTGAGGAGAAAGCAGCTTTGGGCACCTAGAATCACATTATCTTCATTTTCTATGTTCAAAATGTGCGAAATCGCTCCTGTGATCCATAAAGAAAATAAATAGCATTTTACTGGGCCTCGTTGGACTCCGAGAATTTGTCGTGACTTTCTCCGGAATTTGCGGAAAAATCAAAAAGCTTCTAGTGCAATGGCTGAAGTAAAATAAAAATGTCAAAGTAAGCGGGGTAGGAGGATGCTGTTGGTCGGGGCTGAGGACAGGGGCAGAGCCTCCGCGCATTGGCTAGACTTGCTGCAGCGCTCGCTTCCCGCCGCTGCTCCCGCGCACGTGGCCGGCCGCGGGGAAGGCGCGCTCCCGCCTGGAGAGGCTCTAAGCGGGAAGAAGCCAGAGTGGAATCTCTGTGTCCAAGGGTGACTGTGGGACCTGAGGGACAGGGGAGAGGGGCCCGCGGGAATCGCACCGACCCGCAGCGTTGCGTCCTGGGTGTGGCGACTGCGTGGACACAGGGCCACCTGCGGCGTCCTTAGACCAGACCCTAGGGATGCGGGCGGTGGCCAACCCTGAACCCGGCGTGGGGCTGGGCAGAGCGACCCCCAGTGAGGATGCGCAGCGCCGACGAGCGGGAGTGGGGCCTGCACTCACCACCCCCGCACCCAAAGGGGCGCATCGTGGCTCTTCGGTGACGATTCCCTCTCTTGCCCTAGAGAAAATGCGGAGAAGCCATGGTGCCCTGCTCTGCAGCTCCCGGGGCGGGAGCGTTGGGGTGGGAGTGGGCGGGACGTTGTGCTTCACCTGCGCGCCCGGACCGCCGGAAGCTCCAGACGCCGGCGGAGCTCAGCCACGAGGCAGCCGGCCCCCAAAGGGAGTCTTGCGTAAAACTGGATTAAAGGAATGTCTTTAGTTTTAATTTACTTTAAAATAGATTGCGCTACAACGCAATTAAGTTAATTAGGGAAACTCTCCAATCGCTCAGGACGGCCCCCCATTTATAAACCGACTTGGAGTCATTGCCCACTTATAAATCGAGCAAAACCAAATATTCAACCACAAAACAATTTGGCTTAAAACATTCACTTTTTAAACACAAGTATATCTTCAGGGGTGTGTTTATTCTGTTTCATAGCCTGAGAATGGATGAGTCGTTCTGTCGGATTTAAAGTGGGGGATGACTAGGGTTCGCTTGCGTCGGTGTCCACGCTGCCTCTTCCGTGGGCCTGGGCTCGCAGTGCTCCCAGCCTCTGCCCCCGGGCCCCCAGGTCTAGCCTGCCGCTATTCCCGTAACGACCCGTTCGCCCCCTGACCCAGTCACTAGAGAAAGCCCGAACTTGTAGGACTGAGGTCTCCACTCTACACCCCCTCCCCGGGGGGTGGCTTGGTGGGGGGTGGGGGACTGGGGGGATGGAGACAGCTGCAGGAGGTCGGAGCCAGCAGCACTCTCAGAGCAAAAGAGAAAACGGCGGTGCGCGTTTCACAAATAGGAGTGCATCCTCCATCACCTCTGTAAGCATCGCACTGCTTAGAAGAGGCAGCGAAAGCCTTCTCTGACGGTTCCTAGGACGCCTCTTCTGAGAGCCAACGGGTCCTTGTCCCCAAAAGTGGCCAAAACTTTAAGAGACGCGGGCCGAGGAGACCCCGGCGTGGAGCGCCAGGCGTCCGGGGACTGGGTGAGGCCTCCCGGACTCCTCGAAAGCAGCTCTCAGTCGGAGCAGCCGGAGGCGGGGTGCGATCTACACTGACCCGGCGGCTTAGGGTGGAGAACCTCAAAGAGAAAGGAACGGGATCCAATTTTAGAGGGGCAAAAGGGAACGGCCCAAGAGAGTGGAACTGGGGTGTAGAAGCAGGCGACAGGACGAGCGGGTCGGAGCGGGCAGCGGTGACAGGCTTCAGCCAGTGCCATTTCCCCGCAGAGGGAGCTCCTCCGCGTCCGGACTCCTTTGGCATCCTGTCTGTGGCGACGACCCAGATCCCCTAGGGGATTCCAGGAGACAGCGCCGTCCCTCCTCACGGTCACCAGGACCGAGAGCGGAGAATCCGCCCCACCTCGCCACTCCCGGGCGCACACACTCAATTCTCCAGTGTGAGGCTGCGGTTCTCCCAAGAGACCTTTCTCCATCTTTCTTCCTCTCTCTGAGCATAAGCGCCCCCGATTCCCACCTCCCACCCTCTCTCTCTGTGTCTCTGTCTCTCTGTCTCCGTCTCTCCCTCCCTCCCTCCTATTTTAGCCTGCGAAATCCCTACTCGCGTTGCGAAGCCTCGGGCCCCACACTAGGGACCGCACAGTCTCCGGCACCCTTGGTCACAAGCTGGCTGCGGGCGAGCCCCGGGACACACAGCCGAGGCCCCTCGGGTCCGCCGCCCTCGCTCCCCATTGGCCCCCCGGTCCCCGCCCCTGGCCGCCCCCTCCCCCTCCGCGGCCCCCGATTGGCGTCAGCACGCGCGCGGGGCGTGGGGTTTAAATGCCCACTAGCGGGAGCCCGGGCGCTTCTGTCCCGGAGCGCGGTCGGGGCTAGAATCGCAGGAGTGGGAGGGGAGCGGGCCAGCGGGATCCCGAGCCTCGGAGCGCTGCCGGTCGCTCCGCCGCCGATGCCTCGGGAGCTGGGGCCCAAGCGCCGCCCATGCAGCATCCCTGAGCCCCGCAGAACGAGCGTTGATGAAAAAACACTTAACCGCCTCCGCTGCGGGGAGCCATGAGCTGTCTGGATGTTATGTACCAAGTCTATGGTCCTCCGCAGCCTTACTTCGCAGCCGCCTACACCCCCTACCACCAGGTACGTTTCTCCTCTGGTTCGAGGTCGGGACCTGGGAACGGCTGGCACGTTCCTCGTTGCCCAGACCCCCGTCTGTACCCCAAGGTCCGCAGCTCCTCCGCGCGTCCCAGGCGTCCGGCCAGCGGCGGGCGCCGCCTGAATGCGGGGATTGCCCGCGCTGCCATCCGTTGATTGTGCAATTAGCTAACTAACCCCTTTAGCTCCCGGGCTTGTTCTCTCGGAAGGCAGCTAAGCTCTGTTAAAGTGAGCCCGAGTCTTCCCAGGAATAATGAGACGAAGATGGAGCAGGCTGGATTTGCTTCGTAGAGTCTCGCTCCCGATCCTTCCCAGCGTGGTGCAGTGCTGGGACCTGCGAGCAAAGCCCACGCAGGGAAAACCGAACTTTGGTCCCAAAGGTGAAAGTGACAACAAAACAAAAAGCAAAGGCCAGTCTCTGTCTTTCTGTCTGAGACGCAAGGCCTGCGCATTCTCATCCCCGCAAATTTATCTCAGAAATAATTTCTTCCGTTTCGATTCTCAGGCGATTAGGCCAATTCCAGAGCCAACGAATTCGTTACAAAGAGCACCGCGCAGAATGCACTGTTTTTGTAATCGTTACAAAATTCTGGGGAGTCTTACTGGGGTGTGATTGACCCGGCCCAGGCGAGCTTGATAGAGAATACTTCGCCTTTCTCGAGCCTCAGTAGCTGAACTGGGCAGCCCTGTCTTCAACAAACTACTTTTAAGAAGACCATTTAACCCCGTTTCTGCAAACTCTTCAAGTTTCGTTTAATTCTGACAATTTCTCCTTTCTTTGGGCTGTATCTGGTCGAGCAGTTTTCCCTTCCGTTTCCTCAGCTGTCCTAGCAGAAACTGAGGATAGTAGTCTGGGGAAAGAACAAAATCACACATTGGGTACAGATCATGTTGGAAAGTCAGGGCCTGGACTCCTGCTTTGAGGAAAGTGAAATACACCCCAACGCCCCAAATCCATGCTTTTGCTAATTTCGTTTGCAAATTCAGAATGTCTACCTGGAAATTTCCTGATGAATTAATGATGGAAAGGGTATGTTTTGCTTTTTGTTTTCTTCCCTCCAACTCGCCTTTTTTATCTTTCCAGCCTAGCGTTTGCTTAGTCTTAATGTTAATTTTAGGAATCACCAGAGCCCCTCATTGTAAGCAAGGTGGAAATATCACATTTAGGAAGCAGTGATACTGCTAAATAATTTCAATCTTTTGGCTTCAGCCTGTGAGATGAGCTCCTTTTCACAATGAGACTATTAAAAAGAGGCAAGAGGTGGGTTGGGAGAGGTAAGGTTGGTTTACTTGCTGGTCCTTTCTCCTCCCAGACCCTGGATCAATCTATTCCATTAAGGTCTCTGTTCATTTTTGTATGCCTGGGACTCCCCACCCACCCCAGGCCATCTCTGCCTGCAGAATGCTTTAACACTGCATTCAGCCCGTTGTTCATTTTAAGAAAATGTTCTCAGCAGCTGCACTTGGTTTTTAAAGTCACTATCAGACATCAAATTTACCTAACCTGACAACCGGACCTGAACCTTCTTCCTTCTGCTCCTTTTTATTATTTATTTCCTCAATGTGTGTGGAGATGGTGAGGGTTGAAATACTTATAGTCCACTGGTTCTTCCTTACTTAAAAGATCTGTTTAAAAACTAAGACCGGCTTTTAAATGGACAGTTTATGGGTGACCAAGCAAATATCAACTTGCATTTATTAAAATGATCCGTATTTCCCCAGTCACAAAGTTAGCCCACATTTTTACCCCACTACTCATGGAACTACAGTATTTCAAACTTTCTGTGGCAGTTCTTCCTTCACATTCCTGGTTGCCTTTCTGTACATTTCTGGTTCTGGTCGAGTGAAGTGGATTATTTTCTGTTTTGTTTTGTTTTGTTTTTTCCTGTTCCATCGTGAGGATGCTTAATCCTGCATCTTGTGCTTCTGCCCTGGATTCTCAAGCAGGAAACAGTGAGGCCTCAATGGGACTTGGGTGCCCTTTTCCTTTAGAGACTAATTTTTAAAATATATTTGCCCTAAGCCGGCTCTGAGGTCAAACTCAGCTCATAACCTGGATGCTTAGGTGTCTTCTGGGACCTTCACACCTACACTTTGGGAGAGATTTCCCTGTGGCCCAGCAACAACTTCAGGGAGACAGAAGAACCAAAGATGGCAATCTTCCTCTAAGGAAGCCGCTGTTGCCCTTGCTCAGGTGCAGGCTGGGAGGCCTGCCAGCTATGTCTCACCGCCCCACCCCCCCACCCCCAGCCCATTGCTGGTTTTATGCAGAGCGCACAAGACTTAGACATAGATGCCAGTTTCCCTGTGAAAACTTTAGGGATCAGGATGAAGGAGTTCAGTCTGAACCCAATTTGCTGTCTCTTTTGAAACTGCCATCTCTATTCTTTCTCTCTCTGAGCAGAAACTAGCCTATTACTCCAAAATGCAGGAAGCCCAGGAATGCAATGCCAGCCCCAGCAGCAGTGGCAGCGGCAGCTCCTCATTTTCCAGCCAAACCCCAGCCAGTATAAAAGAGGAAGAAGGCAGCCCAGAGAAAGAGCGTCCTCCAGAGGCGGAGTACATCAACTCCCGCTGCGTCCTCTTCACCTATTTCCAGGGGGACATCAGCTCTGTGGTGGATGAACATTTCAGCAGGGCCCTGAGCCAGCCTAGCAGCTACTCCCCCAGCTGTACCAGCAGCAAAGCACCGAGGAGCTCTGGGCCCTGGCGAGGTGAGTATGGGGCCCTGCTGAGAAGGGCGATGGAGCCTGGGGCCCACCTACAGGGGCCCAAGGGTATGCAGCTGAAAGACTACTAGATGTCAAGGAAGGGGTGAGGAGGAGCATTTGGGGAGGATAAGAAAAACAAAGGGGGAAAGGGCATGGGTATGAGATCTTTTCTTGAAGAGTCAGAGCAGATCAGTGACATGGAAAAAAACACTAGCCTTGGAAATAAAAGGCCTAGATTTGTGTGTTGCCTCCACCGAGTCCTAGCAATATGACCTTGGGCAAGTCCCTTAACCTTTTTGAGGTCACTCTATTTACTGGACTCTAAAATTAGAACACTTGCCCTCTTAACTATCCCCAGACAAGGCTGTAAGACTCAAACATAAAAAATGTATGTAAATACGCTGTGGAAGTTTGAGGTTTCCAAAACCCTTCCAAACCAGGGGGTGGAGGATCTTCACTGCCAACTACTTTCAGAGCACTTCCCCAATTTCTGAAAGTTTGCCTAGAGGAAAAGACCTAGACCCTCTTCCAGCAAAACCTGCTGGAGAATGTCTTCTAAAACCAACCTATGTATGCCTTTTGCCAAGTTCCAGTTACTTGGGAAGTTTTGAAGCAGAAAGAGCCCTTCAATAAGCAAGTAAAGTAAGAAAGAAACAAAATTTAGGTAGAGTCAAAACATCTCTAAAGGTTTTCCTAAAACACATCCCCTTTTTATTTTTCCACCCTCCCTACAAAGCCCTGCTTTACTCTAGCCTGGAACAATGATTTCTTGGACAAGCCAACTAAACCCCCCTTCTATTCTGAAAATTTAACTTCCCTTTATTAACAAGATAAAGGTGGGAAGAACCATTGGATAAACTTGCTCACTAGCTTTTGATGTGTACCAAGCTGAGAAATGAAAACTTTGTTGTAAAAAAAAAAACAAATTTTCATGTGTTTTTATTCATCATTTTAGGGGAAATGTCAACCCTCATTCCTCCTCCCCCCCCCTTTTTTTTTTTTTCTGAAGAGAGTGTGGCAGTTTGCACAAGCCTTGCCCTTAGACAAGATCCAAAAACATTCGTTTTAAATACAGAACATTCTTTTTATTCTCCAGTTGCCTAAATATTTTTAACAGGAAGACTGTTCATCATTTAGAATGCATTTTCAAATCATTTGAAATTTTCTAGAATGTGGTGAAGATGCTTTTCCCAGAGGAGGTGCTCAATAAAGGTTCCTCGAATTAAATAACATTGTCTTACTCCCAAGTAAAGGCAACAAATTTGATCTAAACGTTATTCTCTTAAAATGCCACCAGGCGCTAGGGGTCAACGGTGATACTGACAATACTATTATTGTTATCCCTGGCGTCCTCACTTTGATGCAGAAAGTTTGTTAATTAAATCCTAGGATAAAAGACCTGTTTCTTCATGTCCCTCTGTACAAACAACACAGCCGCCCTTCTAATACTTGTATGTCTAGTTTATTCTTTTGCTTGGGTTCTTAGGAAAACATAGTTGAAAGATTTCTAGAAGGAAAACTAATAATAGCCAGACTTCGAAATATGTCGATGGACTTCTAGTCTAACCGAGGCCTTGGAGGGGCACATTTTTTGGGCGCAAGGAAGGCTGAAACGCGGCAGGGGCTAGTGAGATTGCTAGGCGGCCGACAAAGAGAGGGAAGAGGTATCATTAGCTCGAGGAGAGGCTGTGGCCGGGAAAGGGAGGCCGTGTCCGGCCTGAGGCTGCCCAGGCAGCTCGGCCCGGAGTCGGGGGAAGCGCCCTGCGCCCCAAAACTTGGGCGGGGACAGGGGGTCTCTCCGCTCTTCGTCTCCCCGCCACTCCCAGGGTCTCCGCACTGAGGACGCGTCTGCGAAATCGGAGGAGGCGGACCTCCTCCCCAGGAGGGTTCCCCATTTTGCGGCGCCCCGACCTCGCTCTCACAGACCGCAGCCCCCAAGAAAGGCACCGCTTCAGGGGCGGAGGCTGCCCGTCCGCCCCGCCGCCGCTTTCTCCCTCTTCGGCGGCCGGCCGGGCGCGTTCAGCTGTCGGGGCCGCGCGGGTGGGCGCTGGCGATCGCGGCCCTGACGCTCCTCTCTTCCTTTCCTCCCCGCCGCCTGCGGCCTGCAGACGGCTCCTTCCCGATGAGCCAGCGCAGCTTCCCCGCCTCCTTCTGGAACAGCGCGTACCAGACGCCGGTGCCCGCGCCGCTGGGCAGCCCTCTGGCCGCGGCGCACTCGGAGCTGCCCTTCGCCGCCACCGACCCCTACTCGCCGGCCGCGCTGCACAGCCACCTGCACCAGGGCGCAGCCGAGCCCTGGCACCACGCGCACCCGCACCACGCGCACCCGCACCACCCCTACGCGCTGGGCGGCGCCCTCGGCGCCCAGGCCGCCA